GGTAGAGTCTGGGCATGGGAGCACTTGGACCTGCAGGGAGGGGCTAAGGGAAGACAGAGATGGTTTGAGTCTATGTTAAGGGCATGACTGGACTGGGTTCCAAAACCTTAAGGAACAGGTCTGGATTTGTTGGAGGATACCATCAAGTGTGAGTTGTTTCTAGAAACCTTTGTTTTCCTTGGCAGTCCCTATACCTTGTAGCAGCTCTGCCATAGCTATCCCCAAGTCACCTCAAAAATATTTCTTTCAGTCTTAGGTTGCCCATCCTCTAGGTGCCCCTTATTTGGAGCATTGTTAATCCTCCTTGGAGGGTAGAAAACCAAGGTGAAAAATCTCACTGGCAACTATGGTGCACTGTCCAAATCTAGTCACCTCTTCTGTGGTCTCGCTTCTAGTTTGGCATTTTCTAAATTATCATTCACAAGTGCATGCAGCCTGTGTGGTTTACTTGAAATACAAATCTGACAATGTTTTTCTTATACTTGAAAATTTTCACTGGCTCCCATTGTCTATAGTAGATATATTATGATTACTGGACTCGAGAATTTGCATTTCCATCAAGCTTCCAGGTCATGCTCCTGCTGCCTGTCTTGGGACCACATTTGGAGAACCATAGACCTAATAGGATGAAATCTAGCTCCTTAGCCTGGTATAAAAGTCACTTTCTGATAATTCCCACCTATCTCTTATCATTTTTTTTTTTTGCCTTGGATTGTACATTCTAATTAGAGTTGTCCTTATCTTTCATGTGTATCAGAATTCCCACAAGTGCCCTAGCCCCACTCTTCTGGCCCTAAATCAGAATCCTAGCCCCAAGTCAGAATTGCAGGCAGTAGTTCTTTGGAATTTACATTTTAAACTAGATCTGTAGATGATTCTAATATAGTTGGGCCTTGGACCACACATGCAGAAACATCACAAACTATTCAGCTACCCAATCATGTAGTATGTGATTTGGGCAGGGGAGGGCGGGGGTTACTGGCGTTGGAACCCACTACATCCCCAGTCCTATCTTTTATTTTGAGACAGGGTCTCATTAAGTTGCCCAGGTTGATCTTGGACTTACAATTCTCCTGTCTCAACCTACTGAGTTGCTGGCATGAGCCACAGGGCCAGTCATGATTTTACTTCTTTATATTTTCCTCAATCTTAAAATATACCACCATTGTTCTCCTGACTTATTAATAATTTTGTAAAGAAAGATTCAGCTTGACTTAAGCACCCATTCTATGAAGGCTTTCTTTCACAGTCACATGTGTGCACATGCTCACACAAAAACACACACAGATGCAAACATACTCCTGTACTCTATCATGACCCTTAAATTGAAAACATCTCTATATGTACATCTCCCTCCAAAAGGTTCAGCTTTGTAACCTTTTGGAGGGCAGGAAACATCATCTTCAGACCTCTAACATATGGCATATAATAGTAGGCAGTAGAAATATTTTTTGAATACTTGTACCTTCAGTTCACATGGGGAGAGGGGACACCAATGCTTTAGGCAGATACAAAAAGGTGATTGGGAAACTCATGGGAGTCCTGATACCATATCAGAGAATTTTTAAATTTAACTTTATTTTTTTGCAGTCCAACCCTGGGAATCCAGGGTCTCATACATGCTAGACAAGTGCTCTACCACTCAGCTGCATCCCCAGCCCCATAACAGAGAAATTAACTACTTGTCCCATGGTGTTTGTGTCATAGAGTTTGTGTCATCTGCCTATACTTGTTAGGCACTTAAGGTATTCATATCCTCATGACTGCTTTGAGAGACCATTTTATTGTTAAGAAAACAAAGGAGCAGAAAGGTTTAAAAACATTTTGTTCAGAATCCAGATTCAAAGCCAGATTAATCTGATTATGTTATTCTTTTCTCATTTTTTTTCATTAATCCATAGCTAGAGGGTCTCATGGACTGGGAAATTAGGCCCCTAGGTTTCCATCAGAGAAATCCCTGGGCTTAGACAGTGCTTAGAGCCAAAGGTGAACAGTGGAGACAGTACTGTTTGCTGCAGTTGTGCAAGTCACATTCACCAGCACCTGTCTCCTCAGTTTATTCCAAGATATCACACTGTGTGGTCCGCCTGCTGGCCCGATTCATCTGGGACTCTGGGAGATTAGGTTTGGGATAATGCTGTAATTTGGGAGTATAGAATTTGATGCAGAAGGAGTTGGTAAGTGAGGGTCTCCATTCTGCAGCCCAGATGGAGGGCTGTCATATACAGAGGCCACTGGCCAGGCGAGGGAACCAAGAGTACAGAGGGTAGCTGAAGAACCCCCAGTACAGGATGGGCCACTTAGCTGGGAGCAGGCTTCTGTGCTGCTCAGGAACAGGAGAGCAATAATCCTGGGACTCCTGAGAAGCATCTGAGAAACAAGTTCCATGGACAAGTCTTCGCCCGTGGCTGACGCCTTCACAGACTAGACTCTGACCCCAGGCTCTGTTGAATTGTGACAACCTGTACTTGTCACTTCATTTCTCCCTACTTAATTTTTCTCATCTAAAAACTGAGGGGGCTGAGCTAGAAAATCTGCAGTTCTTTATGTCTCTTGCCTCCCACCTAAAAGTCTATTTTGTACTTTAGGTCTCAGCCTGCATGAAAAATAGGTGCTCTCTAGTATTGCATATTTAGCTTTTTGGTTTCTATAAACCCAAAAATGATTTTTAAGGGTCTATTTCTCTCTCTCTCTCTCTCTCTCTCTCTCTCTCTCTCTCTCTCTCTCCCTCCCTCTCCATCTTCTCTCTCTCTCTTTCTCTCCCCATACTAGGTATTGAACCAAGACCTTATACATGCTAGGCAAGTACTCTATCACTGAGCTATATCCTCCAGCCCATAAATAATTTTTCAAAAGCAATATTTTAAACCTAACTTAACCTGTGTTATTAGCTCTACTTTAGGCAGATACAAGTGGCTTAACCTTATAAGTTTAAATTTCTTCATTAGTTCCAAGGTTACCCTATCAAGTGATGGAGTCAGATTAAAACCCAGGGCTGCCAATTTCCAGTGTCTCTCTACTGTACCTTTTCCCCTTACTGTGGTAAGAGAATTCGTAGAGACAACGAATGATCAAATAAGAGAGGATGTTTAAGGGAGAATCAGAAATTGGAGGTGAGAAAAAGAACATGCTTGAAACAGTCTATGACTTCACATCCTATGGACCTGAAGGAAGGGAGAGTGGGAGGCAAAGGTGGTCATGAGGTAAAGTATTCTAATGTCAGGCTAGTGTGGAACCAAAGGGAAATGTGGAAAACAGGAAGAAATACTGCTTATAATGGTTTAGGGAACAAGAAAGTGAACAAAAATAAGTGCAAAACCCACAGGACAGCACTATGCATGGATGGCCAAGGTGTTGGGCAGCTACTCGGCAGACAGGTCATCACAGGCCATCACCTGCAAGATGGCAGAGGACACAAATTGCCTCAAATTGTCATAAATTGCCTTGCAGAACCTTTCAGGGGTTTGCCTGATAACAAAAGGAGAGTTGTTAGCACAAAGTGTGCTGATCCTGATTCTCATGGGTGGAACAGAAAGGCAGCAACCATACCTATTAATTTTGTGGGAGAGCTCTAGTTTCAAAGGCTCTGTGAGATTTGGAGTTATGTGTTAAGAGCGCATGTTCAGATTTTGCTTTCAGAAAAAATCAAATCACTAAATTACATCATGTCTTCTCTTACCAAAAGGAAATATAGAATCTTAACCCATGTGTCAAAGAAGGTGAACTGCAGATTTTTCTATTCAAATAAAACTTAAAGCAACATTTTGGAAGGAAGGGTAAGAAAAGAAGTAAAGAAATATGTAAATGAAAATAGATGCAAGGCAAATGGTGTAAACTGATCTTAAATAATTTCAGAACCCCTCAAAAGTTGGATAGATGAGCCACTCTGCAAAGAGCCAAGTCTTAGTTTCTAGGGGAGATGGCCATCTCAGGACAAGGCATAGGAGTAGAAGATTCAAACATGTCTGGCAGCACAATATATGTCAACAGCAAAAAAAAGAGAAAACCTTGATAGAATACAGAGGGAAAATGCCCTGCCCAGATTAGATTTTGGAAAATATACACTCTCTAGAAAAGAATGGTGAAAGTGTATGTTAGTCCGTTTTCTGTTGCTATGACAGAACACATGAGACTGGATAATTTATAAAGAAAGAGGTTTATTAACTCCATTTCAGAAGTCCAAGAACATGGGACCAGTATCCATTTGGCTTCTAATGAGGGTCTCATGCTGCTTCAAAAGCAGGAGAAAAGCAAGTAAATGCAAAAGAAAGGAGGGAGTAAAGGAGGACCAATGCTTTATAACAATCTGTTCTCATGGGAACTACATTAATCATTCCATGAGAGCGATCCCTTGTGATCCATGCTGCATCTTACAGGCCCCATTATCTCTCAACATGGTTACACTGGGGGCCAAGCCTCAGTGTGAGTTTTGGTAGGGACAAACCACATCCAGATCACACAGTCTATGCACAATTATTACCTTTTTAAGATCTGAAACATTTCAAATTCCAGAACACATTTGACAATATGGGTATTTGAATCTATATTTCTTACTTCATAGTGTTATATAAGGATGAAATGTGCTAATTCACTGTGAGAGCAAGCTATGCCCTGCTCTGAGTTATTTTATGTTGTATGGAATAGCAGCTTTCAGGTAGTGCTCTGCGCTGAGTGACTCCATTTTATAAAGTGTCTGTTTGCCAAGAGCCACTCCAATCTGAGAACAAGTGCTATGGAAAAATGACCTGGTAACTCTACTGGGCAACTAGATAACCACCAGATGGGACATACAGAATTTATTGAAACTCCCAGTTGCTCAGCACCATCACAAGGTACAAACTGACAAATGAATCATGATAATAAAAAATGACTACAAACTTATCAAACTTATCAAATTCAATTAGCAGTCCATGGATTCATGGACATATCAAACCCGTATCAGAGGAACCAGTCCTGAGCTTATGAGACACACCAGGCCATGGATGAGTTAACCCTCTCACCTGAAGCACATAAAAGGAGGGCCACCTAAGACCTGGCAGAGTATCACATACTGATCAGTCATCTTATCAGGCCACAAACCCTGACTCTGTCCTGGGCTTCAACTCAGCTCCTTATCCCTGCTCCTCCCAAATTCCTGTTGGCTGCATTTTTGATTTGAATAACTTCTGTGACCTGAATAGCTCTGCACCCTGAGTAAGTTCTTAGGTTGATTCATAATCTTATCAGACCACCTGCAGTGACTCTTTTGCTTTTGCATTTGCATCTTCTCTCTGCCTTTGCTCTTAATAAGGTTTCTTGAAACCCTTTATCACTGTTAACCCTTTCTTACCTTATTTAGTAAGATACATACATATATACATATACATATGTGTATATATATATATATATATATATATATATAAAGTATAACATGCAACTTGAGTGTTATAGATATTAAGATTGAAATGAATAAAAGAAACTGTGATTGCCCTTCCTAAGGCTACCAAGTGAACTGTAAATATTTGATGAATTAATGCTGATGAAAGTGATGTAGCATGTGGAGTTATTGTTAATAAATCCTGACCCTGTGGAAATACACAAATGTGTCTGATCTGCATTGATGGCATAACGCTCACTCATGACTTGTGAAGTGCATTTAGAAGAGAACCTGTTACATATCAGAACTTAATAAACACTGGTTATTGTTATTACTGAGTCCTTTCTGACAACCCACCTTGTAGTATGTGGTAAGTTGAGGAACTGCTGGAGTAATAACAGATGCAGTCATTTATTTAGTTGCATCAGGGCTCTGAGCCTAGGTTGTATATGTAGCAGGTTTTGGATGTGTTTTGTTTGTGTTTGGAGGACTGGTGATGGGGAGTATTTGGAAGGATTCTGAAAACTGAGCAGCCAAAGATCTTGGGGGGGGGGGATCCTAAAAGGAAAATGAAGGACATTGATTTAGTTTGAAGGTCATGAGAAAGGAGCAATTCAGAGCATTATAGGGTATTTCTGACTCAATACTTCCAATTCCTGCAGACTTCTGAGTCCCAACAGAAGGAGACTTCAAGGAAAGAGCAAGTCACAGCTGGTCCTGTTGACTCAGCATCCAGCTGGGAGCATCTGCAACCACAGGATGCAGCTTCCAGTGGCTTTGGCTCTGAGAGCAGAGGTTTCGAAGGGAACATGTGGGTAGGACCTTTGATAGCCTCTGGCAGCCCCATCAGCAACTCTTCAGGTAATCTTACTATTGCCACCTCCCTGGCAATCTTATTACTCTTCAAGCATCTACAGTGACAGAAGGGGCAGTAGACTACAAGGAATAGCAGTGGAGAGGAGATATATATATATATAATCGTTTTTTTTCCCAGTGCTGGAGGTTGAACTCAGGAGTGCTTTACCACTGAAATACATCCCCAGATTTTTAAATTTTTATTTATTTTTTATTTTTACTTTTTGGTACCAGGGATTGAACCCAGAGGTGCTTAACCACTGAGCAACATCTCCAGTTCTTTTTATTTTTTATATTGAGACAGGGTCTCACTAAGTTGCTTAGAGTCTCACTAGGTTACTGAGGCTGGCTTTGAACTTGTGATTCTCCTGCCTCAGTCCCCTGTGCTGCTGGGATTACAGGCATGTGTCACTATGCCTGGTGCTTTTTTTTTTTAATTTTTGAGATAGGGTCTTGCTACATTGCCCAGGATGGCCTGCAACTGCCTCAGCCTCCCGAGTCACTAGAATTACAGGCCTGTGGCACTGCACCTGCCTGAGAAATAACGTTTAATGAGTAATGTTGTGACTCTTTTTTACTCCTGGACTATTCTGACCTAGAAAATATAGACTTCAAAAAGAAAGTAGTAGAAGTTGTTGGGCATGGCAGCATACACCCATAGCCCCACCTACCCAGGAGACTGAAATGCAAGGATGGCTTGAGCCCACAGGTTCGAGACCAGACTGAGCAATGTAGTGAGGCCCTGTCTTGGGGGGGAAAAAGGCAGGGGGCTGGGATATAGCTCAGTGTCAAAGCACCCTTGGGTTCAACTCCAATACCAAAAAGCAAAGTAAAACAACAAATGAAAGAAAGGGAAAGAAATAATTGCTAAAAAGATTATATTTGAGTTATAATTAAGTCACTCTCAAATCTCTTTTTTTCTGAACTTTGGGAGTCCAACAAATCATAGCACAGCTCTCCTATAGAATGATACATTGAGCTTCTGTATACCTGAGGCAGCTGGTGGGAGAGATGGGCCAACAAAGATTTTCAAAATTGTAGGGCCAGTGCTAGGAAAGGGAATTTTCCAGTTATGTATGGGGGCATTTATGTTTCTCCCAAGTAAATGCCACTTTCAAATGTGCTTCCCTAGGCTTAATGTTCTTTTCTTAGCATGAATAGAAAAGGTATATCAACTCAAATTGCAGCACAGACACTGAATGGTAATACAGGATTATGTTAACACTCAAAGTGCTTAATGATGAATGAGTCATATGCCAGGCTGTGACAAAAGGCCTCACTCTTTAAGCAAGAGAGGCCCTGTTCTGGCACATTATTAATTTCTGAAGCTGAAATCCAGAGTAAATGGATTTAAGAGGTTAATCTCTATTTTATTATAATTCCTTCTAATATATTTTAGCCCCTTCTTCTCCATGCCCCTACTTGGATACAATTTTTAAAAACACACAATAAAATTCTTGTTTTGATAATTGGAAGTTTATGCAAGAGGATTCTCAACTCTAAGTTTTTTGACTGTAATATAAAAAAAAGGAAGAACTGACACCTTCTGCAAGGGGTTTTTTTTTTGGGGTGGGTGGGGGTGATTGCTTCAGGAAGTATTCTGGGAACCCAAATCCTGAGGATGTAAGATTGTAGGACTCATGGGAGGGCTGAGTGGAGCTGATAGCATGCAGGAGCTATTGAAGGGCATAGGAAAATATCCAGGTGGGTTCTTAAAATGCACAGAAGAATAGGGTTGAAAACCACATGGTTGCCAGGCCAGTGAGGCTGAAATATGGATAGGCTTGAGAGCTTGGCTGGCTTTTGAAGACAAGAGAAGCTCCTGCCTGGGGTTCATGGTGGGCATCAGCCTAGGTGTTCCAGAGGACATTGACTGTAGTGATGAGGGAGGCCATGAAGAGCAGGTAGAAGTAGAAGATCAGAAAAAGGTGGAAGAGCAGGGTGTCCACCAGGTGGCTGAACTTCACCCACAGTTCCACCAGGTGCTGCTTCTGGCCTTTCAGTTCCCACTGGGCTCTTGCTGATTCGGGGCTCCCATTTGGCTCTGCCCCTCTGGTATTTGATACCTTCCCCACCAAGTCTCCTGGCTCCTTCAGCCCTGTGGGGAGGACAGAAAGTCAGCCATGGAGTGCAAAGTTCACCTGGGCAGGAAGGGAGTCAGAGGAGGAAAAAGGAGTAGAGAAGTGAAGGAATGGGAAGAGAAAGTGGGCAGTGCTGGCTTCCTCACCAAGCAGGTGTGGGCCTGAAGTCCTGACCCTTCTTCCCCTTCTGGGTCCCACAGGGACAGCACCTCCTTGGGCTGATGCAGGGCCTCAGCCAGGAGTGGAGCCACCCAGGCATGGGTAGGGGCTGGTCAGGTACAGGTGATGAGGATGGGCTCCAGTAGGCTGGCCATCATCAGGGACAGACATGGTGTGAAGTAACATCTGAGGGCAATAAGTCATTCATCATGAAAAGAAATAAGCTGTAGCCCAAATCACACCCTTAGCCCCATTTTGTATTTTATTTAGAGACAGGGTCTCACTGAGTTGCTTAGTGCCTTGCTTTTGCTGAGGTTGGCTTTGAACTCGTGACCCTCCTGCCTCAGTCTCCTGAGCTGCCTGGCCAGAAAGGTCATCTTGAATGGGGCACCGTTCTGTTTTTCTGCCTTCAGGCAGAAGCTGAGGGCATCAGTAGCCACCAGAAAACCCCTGGGCATTATCACATAGAGCCTGGACTTGGCCATCTGATAGGGAGAAAAGGGAAGATCAAGTGAGGGGTGACTGGGAAGCTGCCAAGTCAGATAAGAACAACCGCTGGGATTTATCCCAGGCCCGACTATCTAGTGAGGAAACCTTACCTCATGTCTCTTTTGGTGTCCCCTCTCTCCATCCAAAGTCATCATAGGGTTTGATTTTGCCATGCTGCTTACCACCAAATGCATCTGTCTCCTTCTTGACCCAAGGTGTCAACTTTCTCCACTACCAATGTGTTCTCAGCAAGACTGTGGGAGCAGATGCTTTAGAATCACATGCATTTCGTCTTTTATTTCTGCTTGTTCCCACTGGTAGACTCTCAAGACCAGTGGGAGGAAAACTAGACAGTGGAGATACTGAGAGTTTTTCAGAATATAGAATCATAATATTCCTAAGACTGTGCTTATAACTCTTCCCACCATATTCTGTAAAACAATAAACATGAAGATTCCTGCCCTCCAAAACTGTTCTGATAGTCCTTAAGGGAAGGGAGGTTCACCCTACTTTAAATCACTGACACAGAGACTTTGTTTTTTCCTCAAGGGAAAAATTACTTAATGAATATTATCTGAAAATCAGGTATTATTCTAGCACTAGTGATATACCAGTAAAAAATGTGACAACCCCCACAGAGTTTACATTGTAACAGAGGACATAAGCTATAAATTATAGAAGACCACAACCAGGGCCCCTAAGCTCATGCAGAAAATGCATACTGGTTGGTGCCCACCGTTATCTGCATTGATCTTTGGTGGATCTCCAGAAGCATCCACTCCCCCTTATTCCAAATGAGATTCTGTGATGTGTTGGAAAGCACCCTGCACTTCTTCACCATGCCAGTTCCGTGTCCTCTATTGCAAAGGAGACCCAGACAACACAGCTCCACAAATGCTCCCAAGCTCCTTGCCTACATTGTTGGATTCCTCAACGCTCAGCTTCCAGACCCCTTTCAGAGATTCTTTCACTGTACCCTCTCCTCGCTCAAAGCCCCATTTCTGCCTCTCTACAGTCTACTTTAATGAGCCTCCCTTACTTGTGTAGATATCAGAGCCAAAGGTGAGTTGCAGTTCTGTTCATCAGAGGGGAAAGAGATGTCCAGGTGACAGATGCCAGCCT